TTCTATTTGTACTTTCTAATATCGAGACGATAATTTCGAGACACCTCGTATACTCGTAGCGATCCGGTTGGAATTTTCCTACGGCCGGACCAGGGGCGAAGGTGAGAACTTTTTACTTTCGCGAAACACATCATCATCCAATTCAGGGTAAACGAGGGGAGGGGGGGGGAGTAGGCGCGTATTCAAGGTCGACAAGAGTGTGTACGTATGAGTTCATTGTGATTCATCCGTCCATGAAACGGAGAACACGCCTAAGACACGCGGATGCGAGAGAGAAGAGAACAATTGGCAGCAGGTCCATTTTATTGACTTGCTTGCCGATGTAACACGTCCACGACAATAATGTTTCATCGTCGCTTTCCGGTAATCTTTCGTGCGAAAATAAACGCAGACGAGTTGAATGAATTTTGGATTCCGCATCAGACCAAGAAATTTCGATATCGAAATGACACAATCGGAATATCGGTGCTTTTTAAATGGAAATTAATATCCATCAAATTCCGGATGAATAATTTATGCCTCTATTTTAAACGGTGCGGTGATATAAATGACGTTGAGGAATCGAAAATAATATTCATTTCAAAACCTGTTACAACGTAACAGTTTCAAGTTATAAAATGAAGTTTCGCCCTAGGTACCAGCACCGGTTGTGAGCCGGTGAACCGGGGATAAGATATTAATTTTTAAGCAGGACAAAAGAATTCAATTTCAGATATATGTTCCGAAAAAAACTTCACACTCTGAAAAAAATTCTACACGTTTGAGAGTTCAGAAGAGGTCAGGGATCAATTTGGAGTAACCTGCGCTCCAATATATTGCAAAAATCTATTATAAACAAGTAGCAAATGTGTAATAAGGTACGTAACACATTCAGTTTGACATATATGTAATTATATACATAAGATAATTATTAAAATATACATTTTACTTCAGAATTATCGTACTTCAAAAACTTGAATATTTTAATTCCACCCTCAAAGCTCAAGATAATAACGGCTAATTTGACAGGACGAGCTTCCGTTAAGTCATCTATTATTATTAACTCACCTCTCGTCTATCACTTATAGATTTTGCCCAAGACGATGTTTGTTATCGAAATTACCATCGATTGATAGACTTTGTAAAAATCCGCTGAATAACAATGATGATCATTCGCGTTACTATAATTAGACTCGCATTTAGACTAGACTCGCAGTCTATTTTAACGTTACAATATATTTTTCTTCGGAAATATCGACATGGACGACTGATTAGGCCACGACCGCGAGACATAAAAAACGTTATCATTCTGTTCGATAAATTGCAAGACGCGTACTGAATGATGGAATTAATGCCACCGTGATATACTACGCGTGATAACCTTGCGATTAACGATCGTGTAATGAAAATATTTGTGCACATTCCCAAAAATGTAGCCTTATCAAAGATTACTTTTCCGGATAATTTCCTCGCGAATCAGCAAATCGACTGTACGCTCTTTTTCTTTATGAGACGTACTCTTACATTCTTTTTTTCTCTTTCCGTAAGGTAATTTATCTCACGTCTATCATTCAATAGCGAATCGAAACGAGCAAAAATTGCTCAAAACTGCTCCCTCTTTAATCCTCTTGAGATTTTCAATTTTGTATGTTTCATTTCTCTTTAATGGAATATCTGTGTTTTTTATTTATAGAATCAAACATTTTTATATTGAATGTTACGAGTTTCGAGGACGCGTATTCTCAAGAGATGTGAAAATACGAAGAAGGTTTTTATGAAAAGAAGGATCCGAATGTTGTCGAAGTATATAAAATATGTACGAAAAGTAATCTATAAAATGTACATAACAATAATATTTGATTGAATAACAATATTTGAAAAAAAAAGAGTAATAAAGACATATATAAAATTTTAATATAATGCTTGATAATCTCTCGGCGGCTTTTTCGTATTTTGCACAAATGATTTCGTTTGAAGCACCTCCGAATAATGTGAGAAATGTGCGAAACCGTGAAAATTTTACTGTCAACATTTTAAGACGGGTGCACATCTTATTACTTGCACTATATTCGGTGAGAATCAGATATTTCGGGTTCTGTGATGAGAAGACGAAACATGCATATCATAAAATGTCACGTTAACAAGGTGACACATACTTGTTTTCAGCTCGTCAAAACCGGAAAGGAGCAGTTTCGCAGGTGAAGGTTTCGTGGCTTTCTGTCTGCGTGTCTCGCGTTTTATTTTCCTTCATATCAGCGGCAACTTATCGATCTTATCGATTCGCGTCAACATAGAATCAACATCTCGATTCTGCAAATTACGCTCTATTTCCGGACAGCAGGAGCTATTTCTATCGGAGTTTACACGATCATCTAATTCACGGCGGCCATCACGAGTCCGATAGATTCGCACCTACGTCAAAAACATGAAATATCCCAACATTATACGATCGACATTTGACTTTTTATATCAATATCACGTTGGTAGTTTACAAGACAAGATCGTTAAATCTTCTTTTTTGAACATAAAAACAAAATTCTAATTCAAGCTCAACCCATTCGAAATACCATGTATAAATTTTATAAATCCGCGAATTAAAATCCAAATTAAATGTCTTCATTAACAATTGCTTCAAAATTAATTAATTCTCTTTTTACGTTTTTATGGACGACCTAGGTATAATATTCTGTTTTTTTCTGAAAGATAATATAAAAAAACGTTCAAATTTTTATCAATATCTCCACAGATATCACTGTTGTATAATCAGAGTTGTATAACCAGAGTTAATTCACGTATTTACACAAATTTAATGAGCAGTAATTGAGCAGTTTAAATGTTTAACTTCTGTCATTCGTCTTTTCATATAAGAAGAATAAGTGCAAGGGGGACGCCTATTTTCGAGACAAAATAAAATGTAAAAAAAATTCTTTCAAGAGAATACCTGACCATGATAGCAGAATAGGAAGACGCCGCGTCCCTTTGTGGCGGAGCCGCTACGGAATTATGGCGTGGAATGTGGCCGGAGACCGTCGATGCTTAAAATGAAGTCCTGGTCCGCTGCCAGGATCATATTCACGATGTCGCGTGCGAAAAAGAGAGAGATTCGGTCGAATCTCCTCACAGCGAGGAAAACTGCGCAGTTCTCTCTATGCGAGGGTAATCCTAGCATCACGCCGGGGTCACATAGTTTCTGGCTTGCAATCGATTGAAATTTTTACATTTTTCGCGAAAAAAAAAAAAATATTAATATCTTACACAATCAAAATATTTTAAAATAATCGTTTACTCTTGATCTGGTATTTTTTTCCCTTTTCCAGATTTCGGGAAAATCTTAAAAAGGACTCTCAATAAGAAAATATTTGGAGTGGACTGACAGAATCACAGTGTATTTTTGTTATAACCAGCGCTCGTGCGTATCTAGCTATTACGTAAGATCGATAAACATGCCGTATTAAATTTTTAGATACGCAATTAGATTAGATCTGATATCACGAGTAGGCGCAAAACTCGCAAAACTTTCTTGCGTGTAGAAAAGTTTATTATTAGTATCGTCTGGTCGATACGCTTATTAACTGTTTATTATACTTATGAGATTATTACACTTTGCAACTTTGCAACTTGCATACATTAAAAATAAATCTCATCGATAATTCTTGGAATGCGTTATCATATAATAAACGAATATTCTGCGAATAAAAACAACATCACAATTGCAATGGGGAAGAAAAATATTTTTAAAAGCAGGAGATAAAAGGTTTTTTATAAGGTTATAATTCTATTTAAATAATTCCGTTATCAACGCTGCCGATAATAATAGCCTTAACGTGCTGATACAAAAAAAAAATCATTAGGCTCTTTTTATCAATATTTGTATTCATATTTTAATATTTAACAAATAATGATTATATATTTTCAATATTAAATTTAAATAATTTAAATTTCTCAATCAAAAAAATTTTATTTAAAATGTAGATTTTTATTTTAGTGTTTAACAATTTCTTTAAAAAAATATTACGCATAAAATTATGTGGCAAATAATAGCGGCGTAATTTTATTTTTATTTCACACGGATTTCAATTTTAGTTGGACATTTTCATTTCTTATATGGCAAACGTATATTTTTGGTTATTCTTAACTTATCCCTGAGAATTATTGTAATTTTACAAGATTAACAAACAAGTCGTTTGTCATATCCGCTTTAAGTAATCGACGATTGCCACGAGTGACGCACGGAAAATTCGTAATATCGCGTGTCGACGAGCTCATTATTTTGACGTCTGGGATCAACGATGCGTTTAATCGATCCATGGCTTCCGATTAATCGGCGAGTTTATCCGATCCCGATGTATCGCGTGTCGCGGCATTGTTACTGGTCGAATCGGTTCAGAGAGGAATCCAAGTGCATTATGTTCCGTTCACACGATTGCACGCGCGTAATAAGACGCGCCGCAATTCTCACGGACAAGATAATTAATGCGATTACTAATGCTTGCTGTCCTTTGTTCATAATTATTGGATACAATATATAAATTGGATACAAGCAGGTTTTAATAAAAAAAAAATTATATATTTTCATCGGGGAAGCGTAAAAGACCCCCCAAAGCGCTTTTACTATCTGCGATAACCCCACAATTCGTCGAAAATATGTATATGAAATTACCTACGCATAATTTTCTTCTTATCTTATCGCGTAATAACAGAAAGATATTGTAATATTTGCTTTAGTCGATCCTTATCTAGACTGCACTGCGCCAACGGGATGAAAATTTGATCCGCTCTCTATATTTCACTATAAATTTTTAGATAACTAGTTAAGTACATGACGCAATGGCGAGAAATGAAAACAAAGAGGCCTTCAAAGATTTGTCTGAAAAGATTTATGAATGTAACGAATCTATGGATATTTTCTTAATAAATTCTGATTTCTGATATATTGCATAGCGTTTTAAAGAATTGCATATTGATTTTTTCTGTAATTGCTTACACGTGCCGAAGATTAATCTTGGAGTTTTTTAATAATCATTTTGTTTATGCGCGAAATTTCGAGAAAAAGAGAACTCAATCAAATTGATAAAATTTTTTTATAACAGCAATATGTATATTTTTGCCATATATTTTCAAGTTAATTTTTAAAAAATGGAGTTCTACTAAATTAACATACAAATATGTTATTTTTGTTACTATATTTTTATTCTCACATAAATATATTTCTTCAATTTTTAATATTAAAATATCTTCGTATCTGTTTTCATATATCTAACTTTGAGGAAAAAATTATATAAACAGTTATAAAAATAATCGAAAGATACAAAATGACAATTCATGAAATAAATTATCGAGAATTCCTTGTAAGAGATATACAACTTTTATATTACTTTGCTACAAATTAAGATTGAAAAAGTTGCCAATATCTTTGGATCCATTTTTAAATGGCATGCCAGGGACAACAACACTAGCAAATAGGAGGTCACTTGGACAACACGTGAACGGAATATAATTGCACGTCTTCCGTTGCGAACGAACACGTGCAATCGCAATGTTCGAAGGCGATTTATATCGTACCGTACTGACAATACGCATGCTATGACATCAATTAAGAATGACAAATTAATAAATTAGGATTGGCTTGATTAATGAAATGACAATAACAAATATGATCTACAAATTCCCGGATATGTAATTTTTCTCAAAGATCAACATTTATCATTTTGTCTGGAACTTATATATATTTATGTAATGTAGGTTTTTGCTTTCATTTTTCATGGAAATATAATAAATTCTCCGTTTATAATCAATAAAAAATAAATCAATAATTATTAAGAATTCTATAGGTCTTATATTATTTACTTAGATATTAAAAAACGTTTTAAATGCGCAATTGTGATTAAAATTGCGTTTTGCACAGCTCCGAATTATTAACGGCACTAGTTTACCGTCGAGATATTCGATTGGTCTCGTTGTCTCGCTGTCGATCGAGATACAAACAATGTATTCATATTGCATCGGGTGTATAATCAATGCGTATTGCGCTATCGATTAGATGCGATTGAGGGAACGGTTTTGGAGCTCGTTCAAAGCAATTGACTGAGATAGATAAAGCGTATACGGAACTGCCCATCGTGCTATAGAATATTCACGCTATATCCACAAACTTGATTGTGCTTGCATATATTAAATTTCCTGTAAATTTCCAGAAGAAACTCCGCCAGGCAAAAGCCTTTATCAGGTTCAATGAGAGACTCACCTTTTATCAGATGAGTCTCTCTCATTGAAAGAACCTGTTCCAACCGGTTTAAGGCTGTAGCAGCGCTTCTGTCATTTGCAGAGCTTTAAAACAACGAGAATTTTTATTTTCAAAAAATTCATTCCAATATCGCTGGATGTAAAAACTGAATGTCTTTTAAACTTGAAACGAACCAGGATCCATTTAAATGTTAAATTCTATAAGGCTGTTAAGATTTTTTTCCTTATTGTTATACGTTCTTATCCCAGCTTTCTGTACCTTCAAGTGAACACGCTCTTAAATCTTTCAATTGCTTTCAACTTGCTTTGAATAAAAAAGCGAATTTCGCGAAGCGCAATGCGGATTAAGATCGCTGTAACATAATGTCGTTTCGCGATCGGCTTTTACGTATGCGCTTGCAAGTCGTAGTTAATTGGAGCTTTATATAACGCGCCAACCGTTTTTCGAAAGAGTCGACGAGATTTTTGGACGGAGACCAAGCGCACATGGCAAAGGCGGCGTGAAATATTCATGCACGCGATGCACTATTCATGGACGCTGCTCGTACCGGCGTCGGCGGTGTCGGCGGCGATGACGCAAGATCTATGGAAACGCATGACCGTGCATAACACCGATTACCTTAAGCCAATACCCCAAAACGAGGTCTCCATCGATCGAGAATGCGCAACATCTCATACCTCTCTTTCTCTCCCGGACTTCTTTCCATACTGGCGGGTTTCGCTTTATCATCGCCGTCTCCGTCAAGCAATTTAGTTTAGATAAAATTTTTCAGCCTTCATTCAGCCTTATATTATTATTATTATTATTATTATTATTATTATTAAAATATTTCTTGTTTTTGATTGTTAATACATGAATGGGGCATAAAAGTGTTCTTGTAATCTATTTAATTAGTTAAACTTAGCATAATTCACGCGAGCGCGAGTAATGAAATATTTCACGCGCGAGCAAAATTAGTTACGCAGCTTTTGTGTAATTCCCTTATCGCAATTGTTTTAAAAAAAAAAAACAATTCAACGTTATTCCATTTGTGTTAAGTTTTCAGATTTAATTTATACGTATATATTATAATAAAAATTCAATAATATCATTATTCGTTGCCCATCTATACTTGTACAATACAATACAATAAGTAAATTTATTTTCATCTTTTCTGCAGAACCGGCTTTCTATAATTTTGATTTATATAATTTTCAATATATTACTCGAATAATTTAAAATTTTCAGTCATTGAAATTAATCGATACTATAACAATAACATTCATTAGCGATATAATAATAGCTCTTTGTGAGTCATTAGTAAAGCTAATAACCGATTGACCGCAGAACGCGACCAACGATTCCTTGAATTACACAATTAGAACGTTGTTCCATGTGTGTGTCACGTTTATTGTGTCTGGTAAAGCACGATACAGTTCGCCAATCTCGCGTGATCGTGATCATAGTCTCGGGAAGCACGATCAATCTTGGATGCTGATTTTTTTCGGGGAAAAAAAGCACCGTCCTCTCTTAAAAAACGATTATCACATCACGCTTTAGTGGCCGTCACGTGCCATTCACGTGAGAAAAGCGATCTTTTTCTCCCGCGCGATACGCTTAGGTATTTCACGTGCTAAGATTAATCGCTCGCTTACAGTTTCATCTAACTATAGAGAATTTAGATTCTAAATGCGCCACTTAAGTGCAAAAAGTTGAATATTATTATCAATACTGCATATTATTTGATAAAAACTAGGTGTTAGGTATGTATTATGTTAGATGAAAAAAATGAGTACGACATGAGTACAAGGAATGTATATCATACACGAATAATTACTACATATTATTACTTATAATTTGTATTATATCTATCTATTTGAATCTGTCATAAATCTAATTATATATAATTTTTAAATGATATTTTTATTTCGATTTTTATCTGACATATAAATTAGCATAAATTGAAATAATTCCGTTATTTTTAAAATTGTTATTCTAAAAGTGTATATTTACGCTTTTAATAAAACGGAAGTTTGTCTGCGAGATACCACTATTATGGGAAATAGGATACTAATTGAAAGTAAGAACATAAAGTGAATGTTCAGGCAAAGGATCGACATCGACTACGAAACGCTTTAATACAAACCTACCTACCTACGGTATTAAACCGCTTATATCGTGCCTTTATTTTAAGAACTTTTTTACGAAGACGCTTATTAATATCCAGCAAGAAATTTTACGTTGTTCTTGATATTTTTAATAAAATGCATAGAAAGTTATAATTGATATATTAAGAAAAATAGTATTTGATGACGCATCATAGATACAATCATGGATAAATAAAGTTATTAAAAATATAACAGAAACTTTCTGTATCTAATTTGCTTAAAAGATATATTTTTTTTAATTTTCTGAGACTAGCAAACACGGATAATAAATCATAAATTTCTTGATATAGTTATTAAAAATCAATGATTGTCAATTATAATTATATCAATATAATATATCTAGTAATCTCAATATTATTTAATATTATGTCAGTAAATACACTTATCAAGGGCTAAATATTATGCATGTACATTCATTAACTTTTAATGTCAACTTTTGAAACGTATTTACATTGCAAATAGCGGAGGAGACCTCATTATCACGAGGTAAAAGTTCTTTTCGAGAAAACGCAATGAAACGTGTAGCAAAAAGGCGAGTGCGGCTATTTATTTGAATTAATGCTGGTAAGAAACGATATTCTTTAGAAATCGCTGCCGTGTGGGAGGAGAGGAAATGTACATTCAAGTACATGCGATTTCGCGACAAGGCCAAGGACCACGAATTTTTATCAATAGCCGAGCGTGTACCAACTCAATATCTCAATGACGCGGCATAACGGCGAAATTAATCGCGAGAAAGGTCGCGGATGTTCGAACCGTAAGGCGTAGGCGGGCGTAAACTGCACGCCTACGTTCATAATACAACGCCAGCAATTTGCACAAATACCGTGCGTGACTCTTCTATTTATTAAACTCGCCAGTGCACAAAATGAAAAAAAAAAATAGACACGTTTTCGGGCGCAAAAATAGCTCCGGCCGACATAGTATACATTTAATTTTCGCCGAAATAGCTTGTGCGTTGAATTCAAATGAAACGACGGGAAATTTAAATGTTGCGTCCGCGTTTTGATATGCGCAGGTAAAAACCGGCGTTAAAAAATGTATACGTTTGCCATTTTTATTTGCTTATATATTCACTTTTAGTTATAAAAAAAATGATTACGTTTCGTACGTCGTTAATTAGTCGTGGAAACGGAAGGAGAGATCGAGCGTTAGAAACGTACGTGAATAATAATTCTGTACGCGAATGACTTTGGATGCCCATTCGTATCCGGCCTTCCACATTCATATCGCTTTCCACGTGATCTGAATCGATCATCGACGCGGCTTAGCATGCTCCTTGCGTGATTCGGTAGCTTTTACGCGCGATGAAACCGTACCCGCTTGTACGTGGAACCGGGAGAGAAGCTCTTCATATGCACGCGAGAAACACGGAGTGTTCCTCTCGCATACGTCGCACTGAATCTATCGATCCAACGTACGAGACACAACGCAATAACATTATCTATCTAATCTATTTATAGATACCTCTCTTTTAATTCATTTAAAATCTACCGTCATAATTATTTTTCCATTTAATGATGAGAAATGTATTTTCGGGGAAAGAAAAATGTGCATCGGGAAATATAGAATGTTATGATATAATCTAGCTTAAGTTGTATGAATTTCAATGTAACGGCAACCATTGATTTTTTTTTCTCCTCTACTTTTGATCCACGTCTATTGAGAATACGGAAAAGATGAAACTGAGAGTGCACTCGATCTCTTCATCGAGACTTGTCCAAGCAGTTGAGGCGCAATCGTGGTGAAGGAACGAACGAAGAGTGCCTCGCGGGTTAGAAAATAATAACCGACTGTCGACCCTCACAATCAAGGGAAAGATTCACTCGAGTATAAGTAGAAGAGTCCAATTAGACGGTCGACTGTCGAGGGGCAGACACCCGCGGAAATTCCGCTTCGTCTGTGATTTCAACGAGAGGAACAGTTTATCGAGATAATATAGATCTCCCGTCGACAAAAGAGAACGACTGGAAATGCGAACGATCTCGTAAGAGAAGACGGTAGAAGAAAATCGAAATACGAACGTTAAACAAGCTACGCGACAAGCTCAACGCGTTTTCCGCCGTGCGGTGCTTTATAATTTATCTTGCAGTACTGTCGGTGATCCGACGGTATTCAAATGCATTACTCTTGCGTAATTCACAGCGCAGTTACACGACGCGGCAACCAGATCGGATTTTCAGATTAGTAAACAGAGTCATTGTACTTTGGCCGATTTATTCGACTCAGGTGAATGTTGGGTAACCGTAAACCGCGGCGATTCTCTTGAAGAGAGTGAAAGACTGTAGAGAACGTGCCTGATATTATATATTGTAATAAATTTATTTCAAACTGTGTATCATTTTTATTTCAGTTTCAGAGAATTTTTTGATAAAAAGAATAAAAAACTACTCATTTTATGAGCAAGCTGATATTTGAGCACGAATAGTTGATTCATAACGATATATTTTATTGTTATGCGTTTATTTTATTCCGATGCTCTTCTATAATCAAACAGTTTAGTTTTATTGAATAAAGATAAAAAGTCATATAAAAGTTTGCGTTAATAGATCTCATTGTTTTATTTGCAAAAAAGACAAAAAAGACACGAACAATCGATCGAAGGATTGGTTAACACGTTGTTCAATAGTGCATGAACAGTCCATAAAGTTAGGCATGCAAGCATAGTTTAGTCGTAATTTACCGTGATTTCGCGCCAACAATGTTTTTCTACGTTTTCAAGAATGCCCGCGAAATTAGCAATTTGACAGCAAATAAACATCACTATGTTTTGCATTGTGATCTTTTTCTCATGCACAAATTATCCATGTTCTTTGATTATCCTCCCGCATCAATACGAAGCTTTTTCAATAAATCTTTCAAAAGATAGGTTTAATCGGAAAATAATAAACTTTACAAGAAAATACAAATGTCATTCATATCTTTAAAAAATTGTGAATTATAAAAAAATTTTTGTATTTAATTCTATTTTTCTCCAAAGATTTATTAAAAAATTTTATAATTCTTTTGTAACGTACATCGATCGTAAATTCTTTCGTGACTTATCTGAAAAGCCATCTATCCATATTTGTGAAACCGAGTACGGTCTAATGGTTCTAAAAGAGGAAATGCAAATGATTGAAATGAATGAGACAGAATAGACGCAAATAGACGCTCGTTTCCGCCGCCGGCGGAATTACGCAAGATCCTCGCGTGAGTTTCCTACATTATTTTACGAAACTGTTCGAGTCATCATAGAGAATCATTATATGTCACTCACCAGTCGGGGAACAACACGAGCGCTTCGGCAAGGATGTCTCGTAGGAGGGTGGTCGCGGGCGGCACATGCGGCAAAATGACGGGTGCGAAAACACCGCAGACTCCGGCGCTGCGTCCGTGTCGTGCCTCATATCGGCTAAGATAAATTGTCAGATAGCCAAGCAGACGATAGTGCGAGGATGGCAACGTCGACAGCAGTTCCTTCGTCGAGGCGATCCATGATTCGTGATCGTTTGTGTAATTCTCTGTGACAAATATATTATTTTTTACAATTATAATACAATTTATTTCAAAAGCGTGAGAATGACACAGATCCAAATAAAATATGCGGTAACTTTATGTAGACAAATATTTAGACCAATAAAGTATTTCATATTAGAAATATATAAGATCGATATTTTTACGGTCATCGCTGGATCTTGATGCTTAATAATTGATGGCGGAAACAAAGCTTATTGAATTTATTATATATGTAAATTTAAAAATAATTATAATTATAATTAAGAAATGCCATTCATATATATATTTTTATAGTATACAGCAAAGTCTCTTTCTAATATCATAATATTAATTTAGATCTTTAAATAGTAAACTAAAATTACATTTTTAAATGACATTTAGGTATCCTGCAACTAACGACCCGCATCTCGTCTTCAGATGAAATCCTAAATTATTTTGAGAAATTGATAGAATTATGAATTCTCACGGGCGTGAATATTGAGCAGTCTGCCGACGAGGGTGGATGGTACGACCGGCTGCGGCAATTCCTTCAGATATTGGCGGAGGAGGGTCGCAGCAGTCGGCGGACAACCGGCAGCCTCCAAATCGGCGTCGCCCCGCCGCTCGAAGGCCGCCCTCAGCCGCTCTGCCAGCCGGGGGCTGCCGCCCGATAGGCGGAACACCGCCGCGCTCTGAAAGCCGTGCACCTCGATGTAGCTGCATAGCCGATGCACCACGTATGGTACACCCGTGTCGAGATACGACTCGACCAGCTCCAGCCGGGTGCCGAAGATCCTGCTGGAACCAGCACCGCGGCCTAACAGCGAACCCGCCAGGACGCGCTTTACGCGAGCAAGACGAGATTCGTCCTGAAACGCGAGGAACGTGGCCGCCTAAGGTTTTGCGTATTTCGAGTACTAGTTAAAAAACGTTAAAAAACACACATTTGAAATTTAAACATGGCGAAATACGTGAATTATATCCGAATAATCGTAACGGTTATATATATATATATATATATATATATATATATATATATATAAACGTTAAAATATTATTAAATATCGATGTATCGAAAATGCTGAAAAAAATATTCTTAAAAATAAATTGCAAAATAAATTATTAATAAAGATATACATGTAATGTGTAAAAAGCTTATGACGAGAGGAATATTCCTACTAATTATCTCTTATTATTTGTTATATATATCGTTATTAATAATATATGTAATTATTATTTAATTACAATATAATTATATTGTATATTATTCATAATTATACAAGATTTAATAATTAAAGATAATATACAACTTCGGTTGTTATATCGGTTAAATAAAATCGATGAAATTAAATTTCTTTCAAGTGAAATTTAATTATATTATAGCCCTCTTTCTCTTTTTCTCGTTCTATTTCCCATCCGATAATATTTTACTTTTCATATTTATCTTTCACGACTTATTTAAACAGCGTACGTTTTACATTTACTCTGTAGGTTTTACGTCGAATATCAAACGATAATTGATATTTCCGACATTCGCATATACAGAAGTTGTATAAATAATTAATAAAATAATAAGAAACGAATAAAGGTAATCGACAAACGTCCGCTAACTATTGAAGAGGCAAAACATTGACAAAGTAACGAATAGATATAGACTCATTATGTTTTTTTTTACTGCGAGTTTTTGCTCGCAGTAAAAAAAAACCAGAAGGTTTCTATAGCCATATCTCGAATGTAGAACGAGAACTGTCATGCTATTGTCTATTCATTAAGGCAGCGAAATACAAACTTCACGCAGCAGTTCTTCTGAGCATTATAAATTAATAAACGTAAAAAAAGCACCACAGAACTTGAAGGCCGAAAAACGCAAGTATATCAAATAAGAAATTACCTGTCGTTAGTAATTGTATTAAAAACTATACAACTCGCAAAATACATATATACGGAAGTATATATAGATTTGTAATTTCTTAAACGTCAGATGCAATTATTAAAGCGACTGACACTTGCAGCAAAATCGTGGAACACAGAGTTATGATACTTCGTGTTAAATATAGAATTGCAATAAATGCCATAAGGATGCTTACCTTATCGTGTGTTTGTCGAGAGCACGTAGGGCTTGTTGAGGATCCATGATGATGGTGATGATGGTGGTGGTGATGATGATGGAGATGTTCTTGCTGAGGGCGTCTCATCCCACTTTGTCTGCACCGCGACCCGCTGCCGCACTGACAAAAGCGACAAGCAAACTTGTGGTAAGTTACAATATGCGATAGCAAAACAACTGCCATTCAAAGGTTCGTCATTCGATATCATCATTCTTGTCTCCAAGTAAAATCCACGATCGCGGTTTAATAAAAAAAGAGACATCGAACGGAAAAGTTGCCTAGATATAAAAATTGAACTATTTTACACAATAGAAAAGACTAATTTTACGTAGAAAATTCAAAAACTATAAAATTAGTAAACTAACTAAAGGACATAACATTTCAGAAAATTCAGTATTAACGCTCGCGGCGTTGGGAAGATGATAAATGTGAATTTATATAGATGTAAATATCTTTTTACAAATAAAAACGAACCGCAAAAATGACGAAAAAAAAATACACTCCTTTGACGGAAGAAGCTTTGGAAGCTTCATATCACCCTAACGCGAGGTAACTGCCGTGTCATTTGCACAATCATGCTGGGAAACACAGCACATCAGTGCACCGACATCGGCGGAACAATCGCGGGGGTAATTTCAATATTTTCGCAAGCGCCGCGATCGATGAGCAGCGCGTGACAAGGAACGTGTATTTCATAACACAGGAAAAGCTCCGCTCGCATAGATCGATAAGTCGTAAATGTCGTCGTCCTCGTTCCGTTATCAACATTCCTTACTATGATAAAAATAAAACACATTGGCAAACATCATAACAAACATCACCGTAACAAAATATACATTAAATATTCTTAGGTAACTATTTTTTTCAAACATATCTATATTTTTTATATTTGAAAATCGGCTTATTTACGTCTTTTATTTTAATTATTATGCATGATCGAAAAGCTAAAATTGTATGCAAATTCTTCCAAAGTGTGTATTATATTTTGTAAAGTCAGAAGACATTCATCGAAGATATTCATCGAAAACGGACAAGTCCTTGGCAATCGCCAACTCTCGGACAGATCATTTTTCTGCGATGTAAGTTTCATCTAGCTACACAAAGCGCGTTATCGAAAATAACTCGTCGACCGTTGCACCGATAACCGATATCGTGGTTGATCAATTTACCTTGTCATCCCTTTTTGCGTGAGAGAAAGGTGCGCAGTTTCGAAGGGTTATTACGAGACGGTTAATGATCGCCGATGATGCTCGCTCGCGACTGATCCCGGACAGGAAAATTTCACGCGAACGAGATTACTCATGTGCACTTGCACCAAAATTGTGCCAAAATTTCGGAATTACGTAACTGAGAGGGCAAATATATCGAGACTCTTGTATGTACGCAACATAAATGTGCGGCTTTTAATCCATTAATCGTCACGCCGAATTTGTGACGCAAATCAGAAAATTGTTACACAGCATCATTTTTTAATTGCGCTGCGCTAAATTATTATCATCAGAAAGCCGCTACCTTCATATAAAGTTCTTTGATGAAGAACAAGAGAAATTTTAAAGCGCAACTACTTCAACTTTACAGAGAATATTCCTTTATTTTTCTAGGGATAATTTAATTAATAATAAAAAAGTATATTTTTGTACAACAATTGCTATTAATATTTCTCATTTTCGCATAAAGAGATTTTTAATATTTTAATAATTAATAATACGATTAATAATAAAATTTAATTAAATTAAAAATACATTCACTTCATTAGTTTATATTGATCATCATTTATTAGTTTAAATTAATTTTAATTAATCAACCAGTTAAAAATATTATTAATTAAATATATAATAATTCTACAAAATTCATATTACTTTTATCAAGAATATTACATTTATCATTTTCAAAGATATATAAATTAATATAAAGTATTAAAGAGGGACACTTACAATGCACTCTCTCGCGACCCTCCACAGGTTGATGTATACCGAGTTCAGCGTGGCAGCTGTCTCGTCCTGCTCCTCCCTCCTTCCTTCCTTTCGTTCTTCTCTTCGTCTGGAGTCACCGTGAGTATGTACTGATAAGGTCGTCTCTTCCGGGTTAGGATCGTGCTCCTTCGAGCTTCCAGCCAGTTCCGGATCACGGATTTATACCGAATACCGCAAGTACCGAGTACCGAGTACCGAACGCGAGACCGTATACACACTTCCTCGCTTGAGAGTAGCTCGTTCCGTTCGTCGGGAATTTTAATTTATTTCGGAGTAACGCAAAAAGAAAAGTCGTTCTTGTTTGTCTTCTTTGTGGTTGGAAGGGCAAGGAACGACTAGTGGGGGTGCGTATGGTATATATGTATGGTATATATGTATGTGTGTTTATGTATATGTGCCGAGGCGGGAAGGACTCCCGCCGCAGAGAGAGAGAGATAGAAGGGCCGTCGAAGAAGAAGCGTCCTTCTTGCGTGCGCGTGAAAATTTCGAACGACCGTGCTTTCCTTTGTTTTTATTTTTCGTTTTCTTTTTGTTCTTTTTTTTTTTTTACGACAACGACGGCGACGGCGACGACGACGCCGTTGAGCGGAGATCGTGCGACTCGACTAGTAGTTCTGGGTTCATGTCCCTATCACGGCACATCGCATCGAGCCCTTTCTCTAAGGCGAAGGGCACTGCCTATGGCTGCTTCAGGAAGTGAGTCGACACCAGCCGTAGCGTAAGCATCGAGGGTCGGAGCCGAGGGATGAGGTCTAGGTCACCACTCCGCCCCTGGCCCTGGCATGGTCTACGTATCTCCTGCTCGGGCGCTTACTGCACCCGCTGCACTCTGAAAACAGAAAGGGTTTTTTCTATATTCGTCATTAATTGCGAAGGAGACATCTCACAATTATTAACGCTGGTACCTGTGCTGGTATTCTATAAGTACTCACTTCTGTGTTCGAAATATATTATTTTGGATTAGATACGTGAATCTAAATATTTTATACGTGTATGAATATATCTGTACTTAAAACGGAAAATAAAGTATCTTTTGCTCGTGTGAGAAATACTATCTGATTTGATTTTCGATCCGACATAAATTTAATTTCTTCCGTGCGTTAATAACTTGATATAAACCCGTTTAATCATAATAATAACATGCTATATAATAATAGCTCTTAACGCGTGATATATATTTAAAATGATTTCCATCTCTCTACATATATGAAGCTTTCGCGCTATTTTTGCATGCGCCGGGGATATATGTGGCGTATGCGTAATTCTATTACGCATATATTGTTTAACAAACATAACAAGATAACATAAAAAGATAATTAATCTATATATACATATAGATAATTAAATATTTTCGATAAAAGCAAATATTGCAATGTTTCAGCGAATGACTTTTCCCGTACAAGTCCATTTTTAAAAGATAGAAAAAATTATTTAATATAATAAAATAAATTTATATGTATTTGTCGTCAAAGATGTCACTGTATATACTAAATACTTATAAGTATTCTGCTTATATGGTGCATGTTGTGAGAATTATAAGCTATGAGAATTAGACTCTTTATTCTTCGTATGTGCGCATGGAAGCCGTAGGATCATACCTAATTCTGAACCGATCGCGTAACACGGTCAATTTGATTACGGTTCGTTGATTCGTTTAGCGTTCAGTCTCTATGGATTATGACCACGTTTAAAAAATATTTATCGCAACTGATAGAAAAAAAAGAGAAAAAGAAAAGGAGAAGAAATTTGAAAAACGCATTTAATTTTGCAGTTGCAAATGGTTTTCTGCAATAATGCAAGGTGCTTAAAAAAACATGTGTAAATTTTTGCTTTAATTAATCCGGTAATAAAAATATTTAAACATTTATAAATGATGTTAAATAATCGATATGAAATAATCATCAGTATATTTATGTGCAGAAAATTTCTAGATAAATCAAACTTCTGTTTAATTTACATTGATTTATCAATATTTGCAAAATGAGAATCGCGAGTGATTGTCGATTTTGCAGAGACACGGTGATGAGTCGACATTAATACATTTTGTAACAGAAGAGTATATAATTAATCGCGGATATCAGGCTTTTCACTACACGCGACAGCTTATAAATTAATTAACGCTCATATTCGAATTTAATTCCGTTAATTAATATTCGTCCATTTGCAACCTAATAACATCTATATGCAATCTTCAAGACATTAGTTTATTTTTGCAAGTGTTACGTAACAGAGAATCTCATGCAACTCAATTTAAATTCGCCATATTTCAGTTTAATACAAATAAAGCAAATTTGACGAAACAGGCTTTTGTTTAATACTTATAAATTGTAATTTCATTAAAATATGCTATTGACTTAAATAATACAATTTATTTAAAAAGCCTAAAAAATATTAATTAAAATACATGATATATATATATATATATATATATATATATATAACTAACTACTATGTGTGTGTGTGTGTGTGTATGTGTGTGTGTGTGTGTGTGTATGTGTGTGTGTGTGTGTGTGTGTGTGTAATTATTAATAAAATTATTTATTAATTAAAATGTTGTAATTATTAAAATATAACATTTTAAATATGAAACATTTTTTCTCACATTTTTTCTGAAATCTTGAACTAGTAGTATTTTTCAATTGATGTCCACAGCTATTTCATTTTCAACTTTCTTAATTTTCGAAAAATATTTGCTTACATTTTTCAAATAAATTATTCGTATCATAATATATCTTTCTATTTCCTTTTCTACAATGTCGAATGAAGAGATTTCACGCACAGCTTACAGTCGATCGAAAATAAAATTTACGTAAAGCTTGGCTTTTTCGCGCGATTCATTAAACTATTTCACATTTTGACAGCCATGTTACATGTAAAGCGAGATATAATTTTCGTGAATTACGCAGAAAATGCGCTTGATGAGTTTAGCAGCGTTATATAATAGTCCATTTAATGTTCATTTAAATAATCATCAACATCAAATCTTAAGGCATTAAAAATTGATGGAATTCTGCAATTTGCGAATCTCTCTGTTGCCCACGAATTTTATAATCATGATATGTTCGGTGAATTGCAGGAAAAATTTGGTGTAAAAACATAGAAAGAGTTACGTCATTCTTCTCTCAATTTTGCATGCACCAGACCGCACTGTTCGATGCAAGAATTGTGCACAAATGTGTACAATATTTATTTAATTCAGCGATATTGCAGCCATAATAGCAATGCAATGTCAGCACAATGCGACTGTTGTTTCCATGCTTACGCTAAGTAGAAAATTCCTTCGACAAATAAGATTCTGATTCCAAGGCGCAGCGAAAATTGACAACGTCTTCGCGAGTAATTGAATTAGTCAGCAGCTTGCACGGCACATATTGAATCGATAAATAAGAAGCACAGAAACTACCTAAATTAATCTCAATAAATTTTGAGAAATCTAGACATTAAGACACGGAATATCAGACTCTCTAACAATATTATCATCATTGAAAAATCAATACTTAAAAAAAAAAAAAAAAAAACAAAAAAAACAAACTAATCTTCAGTAAATATTTTTTTATAATGTATAAAATATTACCGACGTTTCAAAAAGAAACCCGTTCGAGAACACTGACCTAATGCACTCAATAGAAAATCACAGTGGAAAGATTCGTGTGCGACCGATCGATTCGTTCGTTTGCGAGATATCGTGCGTGCATCAGCTCAGCGGTGCATGCCCGTGTAGGGTGTCTGCGATCGATATTTCCCGCGAGGGTAAATGGAATGAGCGTTTAATTTCGTACGACGGAAAAGCCGACGTTCTCCCGGTTAATGACGTGCCGATCAAGCGGAATGCACCGAAATGTCGCGAGGAGCCGCAAGACGCAAGATACAGCCGAGCATCTCCTCGTACTCGGTTTTCATTTCCTGCGAAAAATATCGAGATAGAACGTAAAAAATAAGGA